ACATTCCATTTGGGTTGTCAAAGAATTTTCAGAAATCTGGATAATTTGTTTGAACATTTTATTTTAACAATGCGGCATGTTTTTAAATGTCAACGCTTAAAAAAAAAAATATTATTTTGTCCCCTTCCCATAAAATTTAAAAGAGGAAGATTTCAGTTTAGTCAAGGGACATGAAATTAATTAAGAAAAAGATTATCAGAAGCATATGAGTCGAAAGTTAACAAGTATCAGAATTAATGCAAATTCAAAAAAATAAGATGATGCCAACCCATCAGCTGTATTTCATACTTTTGAGAACATATTGATATACTTTCACAATACTAAATCAACGTACGTTAAAAGGTTGTAAACCTGAATTTGGACAATGATTTTTTTTTATTTTCCATTTAAGAACTAGTTGCTACATGTATATCTTAACTACATTTCGAGATAATGCTTTACAAAATTTTAATGTACTTCTTTATCTGACAAAAAAAAATCATTCCTTAACCTGACTTTATTTAAAATACAACTGCTACATTCCGTAGAATGGAATGTTTAAAGTAATGAAGTTATAATAGAGATACGCAAGAATGATTTATTACAAAGATTGAGACAAAAAAGGATTCAAAGTTAATAATTTATAGTTTCATTTTTAAAAGGGAATATCCAAATTAATATTTCTATATTTTGCTGAAGATAAGTCCTAATAGGGGGAAAATGGGTAACTTGCAAGAAATGCCCACCATTAAAAAAAAAAAAGGAAAAATTAATTGATGTTAGCATGCGATGAGTTTAGTATTATTTTGCTCGATCGAAATTACAAAACAAAAGTTTAATCGTTGCAAAGGGAAAAGTTAAATGGATTTTGTAACGGACCATTGTTCTTGAAATATATAAAGCTGTTAGCATCAGTTATATATTTTTTCTTGTGTTAATATATTTTGAAAAAGAAAACAACATGCATTAATCTACTACAATATTTTTTTCTTTATGTCGTTCAACATAATGTTTCTGTTATTTTTCAAGTAAAATTTCTGGCATTTCATCTTTAACAGATGTACTTCTTTTCTCAATAGATTTCAGATCCCATTTATATCAAAACTTCTTCATGCTATGTCCTTTCGTACTGATTGTGTTACAAACATACATTGTTCAAACCAAATTGCGTTTATTTTTTATTATTATGAATGTTACTGTTAAAAATTGTAATATAGTTGATAATTTTTTCTTATACACATTGTTAGTTTTGATAGATTTGAACCTTTAACCCATTTTTCACCGGTAATAATATAAATCCAAACACTTATTTATTAGATTAAATATAGGTTTGTTGGGCCTTCTTTTGGGATTCATATTTCTTTCTATTTGAAACATATTTTTTATCAATGATAGACGCGGTTTATCGAAAATGGCTTTGTTTGTTTCAAATAAAATACGTGTGAGTGTTCCAAGATTGACCTTTCGAGAAATCTCATCAATTTTGAAACTAATGTAAACGTTTGTAAAATGAATGGGGTTTTGTTGGTATAAGTCTCAAAAAACTAACTTAAATATAAAAATGCATCTGTTTGTCTAATAAAATATCACCAACGACAAAACGAACACGTTTCGACATCATAAACGGTACCGTTGGCCTAGTGGTTAAGGCCGTCCGCCTTCGGATCGGGAGGTTCGAAGGTTCGAGCCCCCGGGGAGCGTTAATTGAAGGATGAATGTTTTCTCGTGGGACTCATTCCGAAATGGCCGCTTCGTGAGCCGCGAGGTAGTTAAAATGAATGGTTACCCGATTTCTATCCGCCTGGCGCCTGGCAAAAGTGGTAGGAAATTGGGAGGTACATGGTATGCAACCAAAAGGTGTCTCATAAGTAAAAATGGCTGGCCCTTTCAGTAGGGGGTGACACTATAACAAACAAGACCTTTACCTTTTAATGAAATGCTTTCATGTAAGTGTTGCTCGCAAATGTGCATTAACATTATTAAAACAAATAAAGTGTTTGCCAATAATATAAATTTAAATTGAGGATGTTAATTAATTACGATGCATTAAAAACACGAATATATGCCTTAAAGAACTGTACGCTATTGCTTGCAGAATTTTCTATTACTGAAATACAAATAAATTTATATATAATCCCAAAGGCTAGAATTTTCCTAGGAAAAAAACTCGAGAATGTTTTCATATGTTCATAATGAAATTGAACTTTAAATGAAGCATCAATGATTAATTTCGATGCGTTTCCCAACCATCCATAGTGATGTGTAACTGTCAACTTTAGTTTAGAGTTATTTTGAGAGGAAAATGTAAGGACCTTGTCGTTTTTCTTACCATGTAATAGAAATAAAAATGCTTATGAGTAAAATTTCTTAAAACGCATTTCAAAGTAAATGTCTAGGTTAACTTTTTTTTACTGAACGCCTTAAAGTAAATGTCTAGGTTACAAGAATTACAAATTGACACAATATTGAAAGGTGGAAAAAACATCATGTTAGTAATTGGCCTTGCTAAAAGATCGATAAAAAGTTAAATGGCTTAGATCTTTTCATAGAAAATCCAATCATTTTAATGATGATAACATGCGACTTAAAAGAAGATTAAAGAGAGGTGTTATAAGTAATAAATATCACGTAAAAGGATTTAGTTTATGTATATTAAACAGTATCACGTTTTCTGAGTTATTGCAATCTTGTGATGAGTGTAATATATGCTTTTAAATGCATATAACATTATGTTACATTTATTTGGTATAATAGAAATATAATTAATTTTGATGTGATAAAATAAAGCCCTATTAACTTACATTATCAAAATAAGAATGATGTAAGGTATATTGCACAGTAAAATGACATATAGTAATACTCATTTATCAATGGAAACCTAAACATGTTAAAATGACTTTACTTCCTTTAAATATACAATTTATTCAAGGACGAATTCACAATTTCTAAAGCAGTAACAAGCATGCTTAATTGTATAAATCACTAGAAATAAACGTTTGTATTTGATCTGAAAAAATAGAGGAATAACATTTTTATGTTTCATTAGGTATTGTTGTTTATCCTTTTTTGACAAAATAAATAACACAGAGAAGATGAATCTCATGTTTAAGTCACGTGCATAGAACATAAAGTAAACATGCACTCAGTCAAAATGGTTTAGCTTAAAAAACATTTAACATACATCATTCTGTCTGTTTGCAACGTTGGTATTTAATAATAATAATAATAATAATAATAATAATAATAAAAATAATAATAACAATAACAATTACAACTATAATAACAATAATAATCTGTTTTAGGAAACCTGTTCGCTAGATTAGGCAAAATGTCAGTTATAGTTACCGTAATTTGTTGTAAATAATTAACAGGTATGTTAAACTCTCTTACTTCGATATATAAACGCCATATCTCTCATTTGAGTATTGATTTTATTTGTTATTTACTTTTATAAATAAGAGATATAAATGAAAAAAAAAATATTTTCCTTTTCTCTCAGAAACCAAAGTAACCAGTTCCTTTATTTGTGCTCGACACAATTGTTTCTAAAAACCTTAGAATTAATTTGTTTCTAGTACATGTACATTCAAAATCCACACTTATATTTTCAGTCAATGTTTCTATGGTAACATAATGCTTCTAGTAAATGTATAGAAAGGGAAGACGTAATGTTTTTTTTTCTAAAGTTTGTCCTTTGTATGATGACGAAAACATACAATGATTAAATTTAAATATATTGTTATTTAACTGTTTCAGACATTTTCGTCATTACTTATCAAACCTGTTATATTATTGATTACTAAGTGTGACTCGGCAATTTATAGTGAATCATAGGTAGCATTTTCTCGATAAAGATAAGTATAATAATATCTTCGTGGAAATTCTACCTTTTGATCTCATTCGTCAAATAGTTTAAACCTTTTATAGGTTTTTCACTCAAGCAGAATGGAACCTTTTCAAATAATAATTTACAATTCTGAATCAAGTAAATCTATGAATGTTTTTAATAACTAAAATGGTAAGAAACTTTAATTTTATCCAACTTCTAACAAAACATGCATCGGGTATTGTTGACAAATGACATATCATAAAGACTCAGGTTGTGGATTTGCAATTTAAAAACAAACGTTTGCTTGTTAGATATAAAAAAAAAATATATTTTATGATTATTATTAGTATCATTCTGGACGAATTAATACAATTTGTGAGAAAAATAAACTTAAAAATATTTTGGTCAGATGTTGGCTATGTTACCAGAAAAATGAATTGCAAATATGTGCTGTCTCTAAGTACTAATAGTGCTAGTATTATCTGTATATGAGTTATAATTGTAAGATTTTCATCTTACAATTGCCAATGCAATCACGGTTTGAGAACAATTAGATATAACACAATTTCAATGGGTGTTCATCTGAGAATGTTTGTCTATGATATAATTATAAGACAAGTGATGTCCGTCGAAGCCATTTGTTTTTTGGATTAAGATAGAAAGTAGTATATGTTTATACAACGTCTAATTTGCACTGCAAATGAAATTTATTGACGTGAAAATAACATTATAAGAGCTGTTTGTTACAATGTAATAAAATTCGCCACATAAAATTATAAAGAATATATTGATTCGTATTTATTTTTATATTCCTAAAAAGAAAAGATAATTAACGTTATGAAGTCCTAATACATTTTTACAAGAAACACGCATCGTTTTGAAATAACATACTAAACAGGAAATTGTAGAAAAACATGTCGTAAATATAACCAGACAAAAGTCATGCAACGGCGTTAAATTTTACAAAATGAAGGTTGAAATTGATCAGAGCAAGTCGACAATATAGTTGACAAAAGCATCGTTCTCGTGAAATTAACTTATGAAACTGCAACACAACATTCGTGTTGTTCTGATTCCGAATTGTCCGTTTAACCCGTAATATTATATTGGAAAGTGAAGGGAGACATCTCGTGATGTTATTGGAAAAATGTTAAGTAGTGTTTGTCATCTGATTGCCAGTTGCATGCGGTATTAGTTTGCGTCTTGTTAAACAACTGTTATCTTCCTCAGGGTTTAATTTTCATATTGCATTGTCATGATTAACGATCTTAACTTTTCTTCAAAAACAGTATAAGGTGTCAGCTTGTTTAATATGTGAAGGAACTTTACAGGAAAATATTTATATATACATAATTTAATAGAAAGGTTATTGTTGTGCATTTCCTTAAATTGTCACATTAAAGATAACTGTCCCTTTAGTTAAGTTTTAAGGAGATAGATGGATAGGATTTCCGTGAACCGGTTTTCATTTCGTAGAAAAGGAAGTCATAAGAAGGATAAAGATAAAGAAGATAGTCATGAGGATAAAACTGATGAAGTTGAACTACCAAAAATTAAGTACATAAGGTAAGATTATTTTTCAAAAACAATTTTATATATAATTCAATCTACTATATACATGCAGTGTTATATCGAAATAAATTTTAACAGATAAGCCGATGATCAACACCAAGATATTCTAACATGAATGTAAATTGTTTGTAGGTATATAAACATGCTCGTTTCAAACAAAACATTCGAGTTTGGTGTTATATACAGAAAGATAAATTAATGCATAATCATTGCAAACATGGATAGTTTGGTTTATCAGAAATAAGTTTTGGTGACAAAAATGATTTTCTGTTTTTTTTTTTAAAGGATTTAAGAATTATTGCATAATATTTGTAAAATTGGCCTTTAAATTATGTTGTCTTGGATTTTCCCCTTAAAATAATTGTGTTAAGTGTGACTGAATAAATTGACAAAGATGAATACAGGCCATCAATGTATGATTATTAAAGTAATATTTCAAATGATTTTCTAAAGAAAAATTTAGCTCATTCGTAAAACTTAATTGCAAATTCAAGGCTTAATAACTTTTGACTTGTGTTTATTTGTAAAACATTCAGAACTAACAAATTGACTTTTGTTTGAGGTAAAATAATTTTAGTACAGCCTTTTTAGGGAGGAAGTTTTCATTAATTATATATCGTCACCTAAGAAGTAAAAGGTCGTAAGTGCATTTTTCATAATTTTCAGGAACAGAGTTTAAAGGTTTATACCTGTCTAAAAAAATCAAAACTTGAATTCAGAGAAAACCAATTATTCTTATGTTAGATGTTATTATATCATCTTAATATTCTTATATACAAACATACAAAATATCTAATCAATCAATCAATATCATCAATACTGTACATACGCCCTTTTTCTCCTACTACTTTTTGCTAGAGATATTAGAATGAAAAGGTCGCATATGGCAAATATGACCTTATGCCGCTAAGGGAGTTCAAGTTAATAGAATAACTGTTCATTCATATAAGGTAGTATTTGACAAATACTACCCTTTCATTCTTAACAAATACACAAAACTTACACATACTTAGGGTGACATATGACATATCTGACCTTTTACCACTTACTTTGATCTGAAATCGTGCACATTTACAATAAAATTGAAAACAATTATTCCTTTTGAAATACAATGTACATTGAATATAACTGTTTTTTATATATGTATTGAGAATAATTGGTCACAATTATTAAAATGGCATAAACAGTCCTGTAAGCAATGGAATAAAATTATATAACCGTTTGAAAGTGTTCAAGTATTAAATGATAAAGGCGTAAAATCCATACAAGTTTTCAAGGGTAACAAAAATAAAACTTTTACAGTTCCGCCATCATATCGTCACATAATCACGGTTGTCTGTTTTAAGATGCCATCCTAATACATCCCAACTTTTAAACATAAAATCAATCAGAGATTTTTCTCACCTAAATTTCTATACATGTATAAAACACATACTTTTTAATTCGTCTGTTACAATGTTAGCAGTTATTGTAAATTGTTCACCAATTCTAATATACTTCATCTTCATACTCTGAATTTTCAGAAATGAAGTCTTTGTTGCTTTGTTTGTTGGTAAGCTAGCAATATATGAGTGGAACTCTTCGGGAATAATGTATTCATGCAAAGAAATTCTCACATAATATCTGTTTATATTTTAATTCTTTTACCGGGACATATCCTTTTGAACTACACCAATCCTTGTAGAGTTGCCACTTACGCTTTATGCTCAAATCATGGGCTACATATTGTTTCTTAGAACTTTTTTTAGCGTAGTGAGATTCCATAGTTAAGGAACACATTTTATATGTTCGTACACGAGTTTCACTCTTGCATCATTGATTTTTGTACTGGGTGTGTGCCTATATACCCCTCAAATCTGTTCCTTGAAATGTACCATTTGTTTTTCTTTTAAGAGTGTACCGTATCAGCTTCTCACCAATATCGAGAGTTTTAAGGAAGAACTTCTGGCAAACACGGATGCTTTCTTCTCTTTTGAAAAAAACTGTATTTGAACGATACTTTTCTTTTACTTTTAGTGATTCTAACCGGGTCGCTTTTCGATACAACAAAGCATATAAAACAACGTTGCCTCTCATAAGTTGGAAGTGCATAACACATATCAAATATATTTTTCTCTCTGTTTCTGTGAAGTTACTGTTCCAATCGTCTGTTTTGAGCTGTTATAGTCTGCATGTTTGTGTGTAGTAACAGGAATATGGTTTTCATTCCCACAATGTTCCATTGAATTAACTCTTTGTGTATTATCTGGTTGTATAACTACTGGTATGGTTGCATCATAATGCTCATTATTCCGGAATGCATTATACGCTATTTCAATTTGCTTGTAATGTCCATCTTGTTCCCAGTTTGATGGCTTCACATTAATAAATGGAGTCGAAGTCGAGCTTGAATATATCCGCACTTCACAATTGAAATAGTTAGTAACAGCTATAGAGATGCAATCGGCTAGAGTTGCATCCTAGTGACCATTGCGTCTCATAGTGCTTATATCTCTTTCAAAAACTTCACTTTGATTCTCGCTTTGTGATATACTTGTCAAGAAAGGTAAGTATATGTCCTTATTTTGTTGAATGTGATCACATAGCGAATTTTGAAATGTATCTACATCCTTACATAAATTGTTGTCAACACTCTCAGCAACAGCTGCAAAGAAACAGTTTCATTCTGCGGGAATTTGAACTCGTTTTCTTAATTTTACTGCTAACAGTTGGTCTAATCTAGCCTCATGCAGACGATTTAACCGTGCCTTAAGTGATGCAATTGTCTTGCTACGCTTCACTGCTTTTTTTAATTCATCATGTGTTTGTAAGTTTCTTGATTTTTTTCTTCTTTCTTAAAATTAAAAGTTTTATTGATCTTGTAGGGGACTTTCCTTCTTTCGTTTGTTCACTAATTTCTTGGACTTTGATTTAAATGTAGATGCTTTTTTTCTTCCACGATTTGTTTCTGCAACAAGTAATTGTTTCCTATTCTTCTGTCTCCTTTTTCTTTGTTTTATTTTTTGGAGCTCTTCTGTCTCTGAATCTGTAGAATTTAATATGTTCTTTTGTAGATCATAATTATAATATGTCCTAATTACAATCATCAGAATACTCAGTATTTGAATCGATTAACTTTCGCCAAACAGACTTCCTTTCTTTTCCTTTAAAATTATATTCCAGTAACTTTGAAAGTGGTATATCGTCATCAGAAGAACTTGTATAAACAAAGTTCACTCTAGTCTCCCGATCAATTTGATGTTGGGCGTCTCTCATTGATTTCATTTACGTTTTGTCCGCCGCTGCTATCCTGTATTTCATGTTCATTCAAATGTTGTCCCTTGTTTTTTGTCTGCTTTTTATGTTTGTTCCTGTGTTGACCATCGTTACTAGTACGTATCTCATTGTCATTCACGTTTTGATCCTGTATTTCATTTTCATGTTCTTTTACATATTCTCCCTTGTTACTAGTCTGATTTTCATTTGCATCCACAAGTTGTACTTCGTAACTAACCTTTATTTTATGTTCATTTATGTGTTGTTCCATATTAATAGCGTGTATCTCATTTTCATTCATGTGTTGTACCTCATTATTAGCCTGTTTTCAATATTCATTTATGTGCTGCTCCACGTTACTTGCACATGTTTCATGTTCATTCACACGTTCGTCACTAGCCTGGTTTTCTTGATCATTCACATGTTGATCCTGGTTACTAGGCTGTTTTTCAGATTGATTCACCTGCTGCTCCTTTTTACTACCATGTTTTTCATGTTCATGTACATGTTGCTCGTCTTTACTTTCTTTGTCTGAAATGAAGAATATGGAATAAAACATGTGTTTAATTCAATTTAATGCATTTACTGAATAATAATCACATAAGTAAATATGCAGTGGTAAGGTTTCATATAGTATACATGACTTTCTTGGTCTTTTTATAGTAAGCTTATTACTTATGATGATGACTTAGTTTAATCAGCAACTCGCATAAACTCTCGCCTTCCATAGACAATAACAGTAATATTGTATCAGCATTTCCAGTCACAAAGTAAATTTTCTTCAACATTGTTTAAGATAATTACCTTTATTGACAGCCACATTAATATTAAAGTACATCTCGTCATCTGACCATTCAGAATATACGTCTTCCTACAAAGAAAGCGTATACTAATTACTTAACGAACTTTATAATTTGGCAGTTAAATGTAATCAAAGAAATATGTACCTGGACACATTTGATTAAGTTACATGCACATAAACATGCGAGACACACTACTGAACAACTAATTTTGCAGAATTAGAATACTGGTTATTTACTAGTATTAGAATATTGTCTCTGAAATATGATATAAACTATTTAATTTACAAATTAATTATTTTAAGAATTTTATGAAATTGTACAAACCTGATTTTTTTCCATCCATGATTCCTTCTTGTAAACATATGAACGTGGAAAATTTATGATATTAGTAATATTCTTATGGTATAACAAACAATTCTGCTGTACTGAAATGATATTCTCTATAATCTATAACACTGCTAATTTGTTCAGATAAAGGGGGCATATGTTTCACATTGAGTGTTTTGCTTAGAAGGAAAAGGGCGTAATTGGCAAATACTACCTTATACATCAGTTTTCGCATACATTTTGCAAAAAAAGTTGAGAATGAAATGGGCATATTTGTCAAATCTGCCCTTTTACCGTTAATTTAGTTTCACTTAAGACCTTTTACCGCTCATTAAAAGTTTAAAATAGCTGTTATGGCCTTTGATTTCTAATCAATAACAAAGTCAATAAATGGAATATAGCCAAGATATTTTTACAGAATATGCACATTGCTATGTGTATCACAGAAATGTTAAAATCTGATTTTTGGCAAAATGTTAGTTACGACCTTTTACCACTCAGGTAACGATATATTTGATGTACATCATCTTCAATTTAAAACTTCAACAAACTGATGTTGATTAGTTTGCACTTACCTTTCACAAAGATTAAATTATCTATACGTTGAGACACCATAGAGAAACCGTAATTATCAAAATAATCACTGTCTTGAGTGAGATTGAAACAAACAAAATAGAGAAAAATTAACCTCTAAAGAAAGCGTAAACCTGAAAAGGAAAATGTTGCAGACTCGGTTTGTCTGATCATGTTCATTGACGGAAATGGAAAGGCATGAAGTTAGTTTTCGATTGATCAAATAACGTCTTTTTAATTAATTCTAATACTGAATAACTATTGGTGACTGTCTTATTTGATTCTGAGAACGAAATCTTCATTTGTTCCTTTTAAAGTCAATTTTAAGAATGAATATTTATTTTATTTTTATGTTCAACTGTTTTTGTAATTTAAATATAAATTGGCTCATGAACTGAAACATTAAATTTAAATAACTTAAAATGAAGCGAAATTATTGGTTCTCACGGTATGACCGTTAATAGTTAATAGACAATAGAAAATTTAGATATTCAAACTCTTAGAAGTATTGCGCTGTTGTGATTCGTTTTTCTCGGTTTTTCTTAAATAAAAAGAAAAAGTTTTTTTTTCATGCACGGGTTTAATTTAATCTACTCATTGTGATTTTTTTACTTTTTGTTTCTTTTTTTTAAAAGAGTTTGAAAATCTTTTTTTTATCAAATCCTTTTTTTTGGAAGGATCCTATTTAGCCATTTCCGTTTTTACAGCTTTATAGTTCGTTACCCAATTTTCAAAAACCCTTATTTTTCTGTATAATATATTGAATGTTTTTTTATCCTTTAAAACAAAAAAAAAATTGTACATTATAATTTATTTATTAAAAAAACATTTAGAGTTTTTCATTGGATGTTGAAGTTTTTTTGTATTTGGTTTCATTGGTTTTGGTATATCTCCCAACAACATAATGTGTTTTGTGTTTCCATTAAAACTATAACTAACATAATTTTATAGTAATTTCAGTGATATTGTCAGACAACATTTGTTTCATGTCATTTGGTCGTTTTATTTGTAAATCAATCTCAGTAATGGTGTATCACATTTTCGTTTCCTTTCTCGACTTGATGCGGTTGATAAAACAGGAAGAATACACTATAAGCAAATGCACCTCTTGAGTCTCGTATTGCTTCAAGGAACAAATATCATCCCGACTTGTACCAACGAGCCTCTTCCTAACGACTGTATTTATCTATGTAGGGACAATTTGTAAGGACTTCTTTTCGTTCTATAATGTTTACAACACCCTATATGTATTTTGAATGAGACAAGAATTTCATACAATTTACAGACAAATGTTCTTGAAAGCCTAATATTTGAAATCAACATGTCAGGCTATGATAAGTTGTTTAAAGTAACAAAGTAATATAATGTAAGAAACGGGGGCACACAGTACGTGGTGCAAAAAACGAGCGGTTGTTTGGAATTATTTCAGTGACAAAGCAATCTTGTTCATTTGATTTTGTAAATTTTGTCTGCTTTACTTTTAAAATATACCTTTATCTGAATATTAAGCTTTATAAATAAATAATAAGTTTATCCCCTAATAAAACAAAAAGAACATGCTTTGTGTCTTTAATATATATATATATATATATATATATTCTTTCTTGAGTTAATTATAATCATCACTCTGTTGTAAAAAAAGAAACGATTATGTGAGACAGCATAAATGAGATGCTCATACACATATAATGAGCGCATGACATGAAACAACGCTGTTCGACAATAAAACTAGCTTTACTTTATGTCTGTCGTACTCTGCTAATGGACATAAACCATCAAAGTCAAAGTAAGACAAAACTCTCTAGGGACATAGAACCAAATTGAGCAATAAAAAAAAACAATTGAAAGATCAATAGACACTTGATGTGATTTTTTTTTCAGTTAACCAATTCATACACAGCGTCATTAAATATTTTACTTCAAAGCAAATTTAAAGATGAGAACATAATGCTATTTAAAGACAGACGCTTTTTAACCTGTACTTATAAGCAACTTTACAAGGGAGATCAAATGCTATCTAAAGACACATGCCTGTATACATGCATCGTATAAATATCAAGTGGATGTATATTCCATTTCAAGAACTTAAAACAAATTTAAATAAATCCATCCGAATTTCATTCATTTTTTTTAAACAAGATCTTCCGTGAAACAGAACAACACAATGTTGAATGCATCTTGTCAAACAAAATAAGGTTGAACATCAAACGTTAAACCATTGGATTGTACAAGGCAGTTATCAAATTTGTCAAATTTCCAATCTGTTATCAATAGCATTTACTCTAAACACATTCTGTTGTTTTGTGGAAAAAAGGCAATATTTTTGTCTTTACATATCACCATCGCAAATCCGCTTTATCATAAAAATGTTATATGAATTCACATTGTAAGGTGGCATGTCAGTCTTTATACAAACAAATATATTTCTATGACAATAAAAAATAAAACTAAATACTTACTTACTTCATGGCACTTGTTTTATGCCGATGTTAAAGAATACGTACTGAGCAAATATTTTATAGTAAAAAGTAATATATTTGTGCTTAAGCTGTCAGCATCAACATGCCGTGTCAGTATTTGCTTTGATTATTTCATTTCAGTTAAATCAACACAACTTTCGTTCTTGTAGCAGATGCATCAAAATCATAACCGTAAGACAAATCCTCTTAAAATGTCCTTTTACTACCCAGCGTCCTCCTTATTGCTCAAGGCATCAATATAAATACATGTATACGCAAACGAATGTTGACATCAACTTTACGTGAAGAGCGTAATAAGATAAAAGCTATACACTTTCATAACGACTGCAATTTCTTCCTGGTAAAAAATTAATAAAAAAAGATATGCTAGGGGCTAACAAATCTTTTTTTTGCAATTGCCGGTGGTAGTCAAAAAATAAAACCGAATGTAAACATGCAAACTAATGTCATATGAATCGTATGCTGACTAAATTAGTGAATGCCAATTTGTTATGCTTCTAATTTCTATGATCATAGATGAATAAATTAAATCAATTAAAAAGACAGTTCTAAAAAGTTGACATCGTGTATTTTAAAACAATATATACATTTGACGTCTTATTTAATGTTGTTTTTTTAATTCAGTCAGAAAGAGGCTCAGGAAATAGAACAAGAATTATTCACGGAATATGCATTTACAGTTGATCAAGTTATGGAGCTTTCGGGATATAGTTGTGCTGTTGCCATAACAAAAGTGAGTTAGTAATACTTAAGATTCGAGTTGTAGTTTTCGGTTCTTGTTGTATATCTTATGATTGAATTTACTATTTTTACAATAAGCCAGTATTATTTTTTTACTATTTGTATGTTTCGGAAATGTTGATCTACAAAGTCGGCAACTGCCGTGTTATGTAAATATAAACGCCAATTATTCGATTGCCCCATGTGTGTGACTAATACATGAATATTTCATGTCAACTTGCAAATAGCACATGCATATTTTTCTCATGTTTATGCTATTTTAAAAAAATAGATTATCAACACTTTCACAAATGTTGTTTATAAGTAAGAACAGCAGTCATTATCCCGTTATCCCGTTAAATATCAAAAGATCAAAGAATCCTTCTCATTCATCGCCAATTCTATATAACATTTCTTAAATAACTTTATAATTGCACAAGTGTTAGTTACACAACGTATTGCAGATTTTGTATTAACTTCAATCAGTCAAACATCAACATCATTTCCTGCAATTACCGTGACATTATTTGCTACTTTATTACACATAGCCTTTTTAAAAGTGTTTTCCAGTAGAAAAGATGACAAAAGATAGCCATGCTGTCCTTGTCTGTTGTGGACCTGGAAATAATGGCGGTTGTGGACTTGTTTGTGCCAGACATCTAAAAATGTTTGTATGTGATTGTTTGTATTTTTTCTTTCAATTCTGATATAATACATACTGGTTTTTTTTTTTATCTATGACTGAAAATACTGTCTTGTTATATTTAATTCACTGTCATTGTCACTTTTAATGACAAAATGCAAATACTTGCAAATGAAAAAATATAAATCAAGACTTAGAATATATTCATTACATGCATACAATGTATAATGTAACAACTCTTATATCTATATCGCATGCAGATCTTCCTGTTTTATTATTTTTTGTTATTTATTTCAGGGATATAAGCCAACAATTTTCTATCCAAATAGACCGAACAAGCCTCTATTTAACAGCCTGTTTAAACAATGTGAAGCCTTGGACATGCCTTTGTTATCATTTTTCCCGTCAGAAGCACACCTGATTACTGATTCGTACAATTTTGTCGTGGATGCATTATTTGGATTCAATTTTGATGGTAATTTGGAGCTAGGTTATTCTGAAAGTCTCGCAAATTTTATAACATTTATCATGATAGCAGTAACGTTGTTGGTGTTACTTCTAACCAAATAACCAAAGAAACAAACATCAAATAGATTAGTACTACTTACTATATGGGAAGAGAAAATGAGGCCTGTTTGTGGACATTTTTATTTGTAATTTATTTCGCAATATCAATTTCATAGAATTTATTGCACTGATAATTGGCCACCAATATACAAATATAAATGTTTTACATATTTTTCCAAATTATTGCAAAGGGTTTATTTTCTAAAAGTAAAAGAGTATTTCAAAAAGAGACTTACTAAAATTGTAGCCCTTTTAGAAGATAAGTAGTAAATCGCTTTTTTTTTGTCTACAGGTCCTGTACGAACGGACTTTGAGTCTGTGATGGACACTTTGAAGAAAGTCGAATCACCAATTTGTAGTATAGATGTACCATCTGGTATGTCAAGCATCAATCTTAATAACTTATAATACTACCTTGATCATGTGATTATTTGTTTACTTTCATACACTTCACAGAAAATGCTTGATAATAAATTCATAAAATTATAATTGAATCTTCCTTGTTCTTAATCTTAAGTCTTAATTAAAAGATATAGCGTGTTTATCTCAAATCATGAAATAAAATGCAGTTTGTCATTTTAGTTCTCATTACAATATTAACTAATTATATTTTTATGCAATTACTTGATTTTTTGGATTTATGTCATTTTTGCAGTCATTTTACGTATCTAAGTTACATTTGGCCTCGATTTCAAAAATATAATAGTATTTACCTGTTTTGTACTGTGATTCAATTTGATGATTAATTATTCACACATTTCAATGATAGGAAACTTTAATGTTACAGTAGTTATAATAAGATTTGAAGCTGAAATATTGCAACCAGGTCACAACATGTTATCAGTGGCATTTAAATCCTATTAAATTTATTTCATCTTTTCAGGATGGGATATAGAGTCCGGTGATGAAAATGGTTTGAAACCAGAAATGATTTTTTCTCTTATCGCTCCCAAAAACTGTGCAAAATTTTTCAAAGGCAAACATCACTTTCTTGGAGGACGTATTGTACCAAAAACACTTGAAGAAAAATATGAGTTAAATTTACCGGTGTACCCGCGTACAGATTATATTATTGAACTTAAAGTGGATAATGAGGAAACTGAGAACCAAGAGAATAGTGATAACAGAAGTGATAATTAGGAAATGGTTTTAGATACAGACTTTACATTTAATATTTTAATATGTTTTTTTTAAATATTTTTTGATATTGCTATTTATTTCTGACAGTGCCATCAAACTCTTAAATTGGTTTTCATGTATTCTCTTGTAATTATTAATTCAAAAATGAACCCCACACTGGTTTCACACAATATATTCACAACATTTAAACGATTTGATAGGACTCTTTTAATGTGGTACATATATTAAACATTATTAAGTATGTTATTTTATGATAAACCGTTTTAGAATCATTCATATAAGAATCATAATAGCAGGTTAGTATGGTCTTAAACGACACAATATGGAAATCTGATAAAAGACATATGACCTGTTGAAATATTTAACATATACTTTACAATTTCGTTTCTTTTTGCTCTATATTAACGGATAAAGATATGTTATGCTATTATCTAACTAAACTTTATATATTTATGAAATACATCGTTTTAACAAGCTTTAACGATGTTTCGTTTATTTACATGTATTAAATATTAAAGGTCTGTATGGCCATGACGATGCATCTTTGTTTCTCCTCTCATCTCTGAAAATAATATACTAGTACCAGTATAGAAGCTTACATGTACCTGTTTCAGTTGTCTGCATAAAATATTTTTTATTAATACAAGTCTTTCTGAATATATTCACTAGTTTGTTTTGTTTTCTTTATATTTAACTTTTTATATATTATATGAATTCTACGGAAAATGTGAATCATACCAACTCGATTTAAGCGTATTTTTCGAGAAGCAATATACATCAATTTCAGTGTCCTGTTGTTAGACAGCTGTACTCGATCATAAAGAAAATTATACACTTCGTAGGCAATGACACCATAACAAGCTGAATAATATGAAATTTCAGAGAAAGCTCTAACACAAATTGATATATAGATGTTTCAGAAATATTGGGGATAATTTCGGTACCGTCTGAAAAAAGTATGACACATATTTATATAAAAAATTCCACACTGATAACAGAGGTAAACTGTTTGGAAACAGCAGAACTTTTATCCTGACTTATATTTGTTGAGGCATTCTTTACCAACATCTTGAAAAACGTGATCCCTCGGAAGCATTCTCGAAAACATTAAGCATGGTTGTCATGGTTTTATTTTTCAAGTGAAATACTAGTATATTCCATACAAATAGTTTCCCTTCCAGTTACAAATATTTTCATGTGTTCATTAATACTGAGAAAATGTATTTTATCTGTTTTTGATATTAAGCCAATTGTAAAATGTCACGAGTTATAACCTAAACATTAACTGCGTTGTTCATATGTCTACTAGTAGTAAGATCATGGGAAGATGATGCTTCCGTTTTGGGCAATGGTTTAATTAAGTGCAAAATGCTAACTCAAATGAAACAAAATAGAGAGAAATAAAGAATACCTAAAGAAAGCACAACAAGACAAAATTGAAAATGTTTTCAGGCTCGGTTTGATTGAGCCTGTTCATGGACGGTAATGGAAAGTGCAAATTACCGTCAACGCCCCCTAGCACCGGCTTAAGCAGAATTCAACATTTAGTCATGGTAATGGTGAAATTTTGAATTTAGAAACAACCGCAGATGTGTTTCATTCTATGAAAAGCGGCGTATGTTCTCCAAGTAAAAGAATGCGTGTGCCATCAAAACCATCAAAATAACATAAGCTATTTATATTGTGTCAAAATTTAATTGATTAGTAATTGTGTTTTTGTCAAGCCTTATCATGTCGTGTGCAAACAAGTCACTATATTTAGTCTATATTGACAAGTTAATTCTCATATGCAGGAGGTGGAGGGCTCGGCTTAACGACTTAAGAATACTAAAACGCGTTTTATTTCGCATAGCATTAAAATGAAAAGAATTAAATTGCCTTAGGCGGTTACATCCAGTGTCAGTATGATGCGGCTCGGATGTGTTTTCTTTTTCAAAATTATCTTGGACACTCAATTGAGAGTACCTGTACCTTTTTCACCTTTTAATAAATATATTTGTTTACTTCTTGCCATATAATGTCTGCCTTTATTTTATAATGCCTAAAATATAAATATCTTAAACACTTTTAATTCTATGAGTTGAGTATATAACGCAAACAAAAATGATACAGAAAACATCTTAATATTTCGTAAAACCATTATCTTTGATGTAATGGCTACCGTTTTCTTCACAGGTAAAATACACAATATAATTATATAAATTATTCATTTCACCATATAAATAGTGATTTTTGGATTCTCATTAAAAGCAAACTTTCAATTTATGTAATAAAAACTATTATGCAATCAATTCTTTGGAAACTTCCTTTGGGAGGAAACATTACATTTGGTTAATTAAATAGATTTATCGGCAAAAGCATGACAAATGATGACAAATTGAACTTAATTAAGTAGTATTTTATCCGATCGAAATTGAAAATTGAATGCTTAATTGCTATGTCCAAGAAAGAGCAAAATCCTTAAATGATATCATCGTATTATCTAGGAGCATCCAACCTCGTTAACCATATTATTATTATATAGAAATTAATATGTTTTGTCGTATTGTAATAGGTAATAATATAATTGGTATCACTGATAGGTGTAGGAAATGAGAGTTTGGTATCAACATGATGTGACAAATATGTGTGCGATATTCAATATAATTTTGTCATTCCTTATACCATTCTCATTCGTGTAGCTCAATACAGTAAAATATGTACTTGTTTTTAATGACTGAATCCTTTCTTGTTAGAAACGTACAATTCTTTCGTATTGATAAAATAAAATTGTTCCTTATATTGGAATACAGAACACATAAAATCATTATGATCAGACAATAATAACAGATCAATCGTATATTTTTTGCCTAATTTTATTTCTCCAAAGATTTGGGTTTTTTTTGCATTTCCCATGATATAGTTACTTATTTGAATGTCATAGATAGTATATTGTTTTCAGTTGGTCTAAACTTATGAAGCAACATATTCAATTTTTTATTCCTATTTCCTATCTATGAAACACATATTTGTATGTAACTCTTGGTGAAAATATCTAGATAAGACAAGTTAGTAATTTAGAACACTGATTAATGTTCACATCTTTAATTTCACAATGCACATGCTTCATTGAGTAACTTAAAAGGAAGTATTATTCAAATTAACATGGTCATTAACATTAATCAGTTTACACAATTCCCATCTGTTCAAAAAGCATTTCATTCCTTAAGAAAATGAACACCGTTAATATCATGTTTACATTAAAGTGCTTAGGGTAAGCAATTAGTTATGAGAATGATAATCAGAAACATATGTGTCGAAATGTATCAACTATCAGAATTAATCCACAAGTACAATAATGCCAACCTATAAACTATATTTCACATTTGAAAACATTTTGATTCACGTTCAAAATACTACAGTAACCGCACATCGAAAGGTTGTACACGTTAATTTGGAAGATGACATACCTTTATTGTTATTACTGAAACCTTTTGTGCACAAGTCGCAATATCTGAACCACATAAATTCCCAGATGGATATAATGTATTGATGCATTACACATTCATTGTCTAAATATGCTATAAAAATGAAAGCAAAAACTAAAAGATACACATTTTATAATTATTTCTTGCTACATTAAAAGTGGTAGGTCCATTAATATATAATGAATTTAATTGCTGAAAGAAGTCCTAAGGGATAGTGCATTGCATGTGATGTCACATTAAAATTAATGGATATTAGCATGCGATGAGTTAAGTATTATTTTGTTTGATCGAATTTCCAAAAAAAAAAAACTATGTTGCATCAGGAAAAGTTAAATGAATTTTGTAAGGGATTATGCTCTTAAAATATATGTAATGCTGTGAGTATCAACTGAACTTTCTTTTATTGTGTTTTGAAATATAATGTAGATTACCTATCAGTTTCTTTATGCCGTTCCACAATATGTGTATATTGTTTTTCAATTGAAATATCTCGTGTTCAATCTTTAGCAGGACAAGATGTTAATGAACCAATCAATTTTGTTTAGAGTTAAATCAAATAAGAAATTCAATTATTATTGTTTTGGCACTTCAATTCATTATGGTCAAGTTTCATACTGAGCATGTTCAGAACCGTCTGACCTATGATAAGTACGTTTCTCTCCGTGCAAGACTTGTAACTTTTCATCAATTTTTGAAATATGCAAACATTCCAGTTCGTGTAAAACGAACAAATGCAAATGCTATAGACTCGAATTGCTTTTAAAGTATTCATTTCTTGTATTGTAGGGACAGGGAAGCCATTCAATTACAATGCTAAATTCCGATGATATCATAAAGATCAAAACACCAAAGTTCATAACACGGGATATGGTAATATATAAATACAGAAAATGCAATCGGTTAAAAAGTTTGCTAAGCGTTGACTTCTTGAGTCTGCAGTTTTCATGAAATTTTGTTGTGATTAATGCTTCCGAGGGATCACTTCGTTTCCAGATTGTTTTTTCTTTAGGTCATACAAAACAAATAGCTGATTAAGTATAAGGTTTAAGAAATAAAATAGTACGTCGCAATTTCGTCCAATTACATACATGGTGATATAATTCATATATTTGTGTTTAAGCATTTTAAAACTTATTTTGTGACGGGGTAGACGACACAAAAAATGGTAGTTGATTTTCAAATGGTTATTATTTTAAATGATGCTCAATTACATGTGCAGGAATTGGCCGAGGTTTGTGAAAGATAATCGGTTAACGTCAATTTTAAATACTAGGTCATAAAATACATTTTATAAGACCAGCAAGAACACTTTTATAACTGAGGTTATTAGGTCAAAGGCCAAGGTTATATTGAGTGCATAGACCAAGATATGGTTATCTTTGTTAGCGACATTTCAAATATCCGGCACCAATCGGAAGAAGTTTTTTTATTAACTTTGGTATTTTCAATGTGATATAAAACATTTTCTCCAAAGAGCAAGGTTCACTAAGCACCAAAAATGGCCCCATCTTAGATATTGATAAAAACCTAAAGGTGTATAGTACAATGTGTTACATTTTCAAAATAGACATTTATTAGGCATTTCTGGTTACTATGACGACATAATGACGTCATAATTAAAGCACCTGCTTAATTCAATTAAATCACAAATTTGACGACAATTTTCATACAAGACTAATAAATTTGTGTGTTTGACTGAATTAAACTCATAAAGATAGCAATATATTTCTTATATATTGTTAACAAAATTATAGTTTAGTTAAAATTAGACTATTGTGTCACAAAACTAATATAAAAGATAAATGGGGCACGTTTCGGATAATCCAAATTCGGATATTTAGAAATAAAAATGTGCATGCATATTATTTTTCGCCTAACTAAATGTATTTATTTTTACTTTTATAAATACTGTAAGTTTGTTCATTTTTTATCAATAAATGTCTAATTTGCTTGTTATATCCATCTACTTCTTACATTACGCTTAAAATAAGGGTGTATAGAATCAATCGCAATTTTAACGGCCTTTATAGTCAGTCTTTAGACAAGGACGTTGAACATAATAATATTGATAATAATAATGATAATAATAATAATAATAATAATAAATTATTATTATTATTATTATTATTATTATTATTATTATATTATAATAACACAAAA